AGTGATGAACACTGGGTGTTATATGTAAGTGAAGAATCACTAAATTCTGCTCCTGAAACCAATATTACAATATATGTTAACTAACTAGAATTTAAATAAAAACTTAAAACAAAAATCCAAGTTAAAATTTTATTTTTACTCTTAGAAAGTTGAAATAAATATCTTTTACCCGGGGGGGGGGGGGAGAGAAGGAGTAGGATATTCTTTTAAAAAAATAAAAAAATACTGAGGCACCTGGGTGGCTCAGTTGGTTAAGCCTCTGCCTTCGGCTCAGATCATGATCCTGGGGTCCTGCCTGGGATCAAGTCCCACATCGGTCTTCCCGCTCAGCGGGGAGTCTGCTTTTCCTTCTCCTTTTGCCTGTCTGCCCCTCCACTCAACCCCCATGCTTGTGCTCTCTGTCTTTCAAATACATCTTAAAAAATAAAAATAAAAAAGAAAGAAAGAAAAATAAAATAGACAAACAGCTCTTAAAATGCAATAATAGGAAAACAATCCAATGGAAAAGGGCAAAATATTTGAACAGACACCTCACCAAGAGATCTATACATGGCAAAAAAGAATATGAAAAGATGTTCAACATCATATATCATTAGGGAAATGATTTTTTTTTTTTTTGGTGGGCAGTAAAGCAAAGTTTATTGAGCAAGAGTACTGAGCAATAGTACAAAGCACGTGAAGAGGGAGGGTACCTGAGAAGGTTGCCCAGGAAATTAAAATTAATAATAGAAATGCAATCACAGTGCAGACCTATTAGAATGGCTAAAATCCAAAACACAGACAGCACCAAATGCTGGCAAAGAGAGCAACAAGAACAAGAGCTCTCATTCATTGATGATACAAATTTTAAAAAATGGTACAGTCACTTTGAAAGACAATTTGATAGTTTCTTACAAAACTAAATTTACTCTTATCATGTAATCTACCCATTGTGCTTTTTGGTAATTGCCCAAATTATTTGAAAAGTTACGTACACAAAACCTGCTCTCAAATGTTTATAGCACCATCATTAATAATTGACAAAGTTGGGGGACACCTGGGTGACTCAGTCACTTAAATGTCTGCCTTCAGCTCAGGTCCTGATCCCAGGGTCCAGGAATCAAGCCCTGAGTCAGGCTCCCTGCTCAACGGGGAGTCTGCTTCTCCCTCTCCCTTTGCCCTTCCCACATTCGTGCTCTCTCTCTCTCAAATAAAAAAAAAAATCTTAAAAAAATAATTGACAAGGTAGGGAGGAAGCCAAGATATCCTTCAATAGGTGAAAAGATAAAAAAGCTGTGGTAAATCCACACAGTGGAATCTTATTCAGCACTAAAAATAAGTGAGCTATCCCATCATGAAAGGCCACAAAAGAACCTTAAATGCATACTGCTAAATGAAAGAAGCCAATCTTAAAATGCTACATGCTGTATAATATCAACAATAAAACATTCTGGAATAGGCAAAAATATGGAGACCATAAAAAGATCAATAGTTGCTAGGAGTTTACAGGGTGTGAAAGGATGATGGAGAGATGAACAGGTGGTGCCCACAGACTTTTCTGGCAGTGACACTATTCTGCATGATAGTGTAATGATGGATTCATGTCATTATACATTTGTCAAAACCCACAGAATGCACAATGCATTGGCTCACCAATCATATCAGTGTATCTCACTAATGCAAATGTTAATAGTAGAGGAAACTGTATGCTGGCAAATTAGGGATATATGGGAACTCTGTACACATATTCAATTTTTCTTTAAACCTGAAACTGCTCTAAAAAGAAAGTCTCTTAATATAAAAAAGTGACCCAGGGTCCCCCAGATTATTTTTAATTAAAGAAGTACAAAGGCTGCATCCTTGCTCTTTAGGAAAGTCACTGGGAACATCTACATAAAACACCAAACTTCTAGGACATTCCAGAAGCTTTCATTGTAAAATCCTCCAAAAGAATAAAGTTTGGACTATGTCCAGGGTTACAAATCCCCAGGTTTGGTAATTCTATAGAGGGACTTAAAGGACTCAGCATATAGTCATACTCATGGCTAGTATTTACTTTAGTGAAAGAATATAAAGCAAAATCTGCAAAGGGAAAAAATACATGGGATGAAGTCTAGAGAAAACTAAGTGAAAGCTTACAAGAGTTCTCCCTTAGAAGAGTCACACAGGACACAACTAATTCCTCCAGCAAGAAGTTATAACAACACATGTGAAATTTTGTCTACCATGGAACCTCTTGAGACTCAGTGCCCTAGGTTTTTATTGGGGGCTGTACAGAGGCACCCACTACTAAGCATATACCAAAATTCCAGACTCCCAGAAGAAAATAAGATGTTCAACATAAACCACATTGTTTGTACAGGCAATCTAGGCACAGAGAGTCACTCTTACCATTTAGGGAAAATTTTATATCTGTGTAAGGAACTGTTCACTAGCCAAGTTCCCAGATACAAGCCAAGAGCTAATCTTATAGTCAGATTTTTCTATTCATAGTAGACTCGGCCTATTATGTTAACTCTTTTCTGCTTAGGAACCTGACCCAGAATAGATGCAAAAGGAAGGAAACAAAAGAATGTAGAAGGAAAATGACAGAAGACCCCAGACTATTCCAGTTTATGGAAGAAAAGTAGTCCTTCACCTTTTCAATACTAAGTGTATTCACCACTGAGGTTCCTGACTCATCAATTTGAAACACCTCACATGAGGTAATGGATATTCACCAAAACACGTATCAGGAGATAAGCTTCAGTTTTGTAACAATCTGTGTAACCTTGGAGAAGATGATTTCTAAGAACTTTCCTAGCTCATGTCAAAGATCTTATTCATTTGAGTGTCTCGTTTTATACTTGAATCTAAAATATCTCCATCTTGTACTGGATCTATTATCCAACACAAGGATCTATCCATTAAAAAATTGTATTTTTTTAAGGTTTTATTTATTTTAGAAAGAGAGAGAGAACCCATGTGACTGGGGGGATGGGCAGAGGGAGAGGAAGAGAGAGAATCTGAAGGATGCTCCTTGCCCAGTGCAGAGCTCAATCCCATGACCCTAAGATCATGATCTGAGCTGAAATCAAGAGTCTGATGCTTAACTGACGGAGCCACCCAGGTGCCCTGCCATTGAAAACAGTTTAAAATCAGTTAATTCCTTCTCTTCCTTCTCCAGTGCCACTCTTGTGATTAGACCCTCTCCCCTAGGTCATTGCAATAGTTCCCTAAACTGGTTTTCTTGCTTCCACTCTGTCTCAGGTCTAATTCATCTTACAACCTCAGACAGAGATTCTTCAAACAGAATTCCATTCATATAGCTAGTACTACCAAAAGTGCTCAATGATCCTCCCAGGCCCAAGAGAATTCAATACAAACTCTGAACCTATTACTCTATAATATGACCTCAACTTGCCTAATCCTATCTTGTCTTTCACTACTCTCCAATAGCAATGAAAATTCTGGTCAAATGTCCCCAAACGTACTCCATGTTTTCTATTCTTGGGACCATTCCCATCCACGTGAGAGGTCCATTTCTCCATTTCTGTCAAAGACGTTACCTTTTGTTAAATGGGCACCACTATGGTGCCAGGGCAAATCTCCACATCCAGATATAAGGTTTTTATTCTCCAGACACCTTCCCACCCCTACAAGGACACCACATACACATTCATGTTACAGTATGTAAAAATTCTTATTTAAGTGTCATGTGTATTCTTATTTTAGCATTCCAATTATAAGCTGCCGAAGGACAGGAAGGATGTCTCATTGACTTTGTAGTCCTGTTACACCCAGCATAGTGCCTGGCATGTGGTATGCACTCATGGAATAGTGGCTTATTTGAACTGAAGTCACTGAAAGTCCATTAAAAAAAAGGTAATGTTGGAATATCTTGGGAAAAATGTAGAAGATCTGCTCCTGATCTACCAAATACAACACTAGTTCAACTTTAACCTCATGTGGATTCTGGAATCAGAAACACAGAACTGAAAGGGACTCTGGAGATCACTAAGTGCCACTCTTCCTTTGGCAGAAAGGGAAAATGAGGCCAAGAAAAAAATATGTTCTCCAAAGTCACACCATGAAAGATAAGAAATAACAAGTGTTGTTGAGGATGTGAAGAAAAAGGAACCCTCATGTACTGTTGGTGGGAATGTAAACTTGGGCAGCTAATATGGAAAACAGTATGGAGGTTCCTCAAAAACTCCAAATTAGAATTACGATATGACCCAGTAATTCTACTACTGGGTATTTATACAAAGAAAATGAAAACACTAATTCAAAAAGATATATGCACTCCTATCTTTATTGCAGCATTTACAACAGCTAAGATATGGAAGCAACTTAAATATTCATCGACAGATGAATGGATAAGGAAGATGTAGATATTGGAATATTAGACAGGCATGAAAAATGATGAGCTCTTACCGTTTGTGATAATATGGATGGCCCTAGAAGGTATTATGCTAGGTGAAGTAAGTCAAACTGAGAAAGATTAATACCATATAATTTTACTAATATGTAGAATCTAAGAAGCAAAACAAATGAATAAACAAACAAAAAAAGTGGAATGAGACTATAAATACAGAGAAAAAAACTGATGGGGGTGGACAAAATATGTGAAAGAGAGTGAGAGATACAGACTTCTAGTTATGGGATGAGTAAGTCACAGGAATAAAAGGCACAGCATCAGGAATATAGTCAATAATATTTTAATAGTCTTGTATGGTGAAATTTTATTTTCTCAAACTTGCATTTTATTGCTTACATAAAGACGATTTATGTATTAAATTATTTATTCTAATGTCCAAAAAAAAAAACAACAACAAAAATGTCACACAGTGAGTTAGTGGAGGACCTGCTTTGAGAACTCAAGGCTCCTGAGTTCCAGGCAAAGATTTTAACTGTAAGTACTACTATTATAGTGGATCCCTGCTGAGGCAGTGCATGAAAAGAGCCTTGGAATAGGAAAATGCCAATGTTACCAAGACACAGCCGGCAAAGGAAGATGGGAACAGGCTTTTTGAACATACCTCTTGTAACTGAGATTCTTTCTTTTTGGAAGATAGATGTAAGTGCCGATCCAGCAAGGAATAAAATCTCTCACCATCCTTTTCAAATTTTTTTTTCCGCTCCTACATCAGGGAGAAAAAGCATACATTAAGATATCTATATAAATTTTTAATTCACTCTGCTCAGAATTAAGAATGAAGGATGCAGTGTCAGGATTCATCTATCAGGTTACCAATCTCTCTAGCCTCTGGGAAGAACACAGAAAGAATTTGCTTTAGCATGGGTCTCAGCAGTTTCAATTTCCTCAAATATAACTCTGAATCATTCCGCCTACACAAACGGCAATTCCTATTAGTATACCTGAAGGCTCTGTGAGATGCTGCTCAGAAAATGACACTTAAAATGGGCCTGTACACTTGTTACTTTTTCTTCTTCCCAGTATTTTTCTTATTTTTTTCACATGCATTAACTACTTACTCATTTTTTTCAAAGGAGAAAGAAGGAACACAGTGGTGGATTCAATATATGCCTTTAAAAGTCATATACAGATTGAGGGAAAAGATGGTGGAGGAGTAGGGGACCCTATTCCAACCAGTCCTCAGAATTGAGCTGGATATCTACCAGACCACTCTGAACACCATGAAATAAGCCTGAGATGTAAGAAGACAGATCTGGATCTCTACAAACAAAATATCGCTGGCATCTGGTTTGGAGGTAGGAAGCAGGAAACCGTGATTCCGCAGGCAAATATCAGAGGATAAACAGAAGGGGGAGGGAGTCGAGCCGTGGGGATCCTACACCACCGGTGAGGGACAGCCTCCCATGCTGAGGACTGAGCACCTTGCCTCCTCTTTTCTTTGTCTATTAATTGGTCTTCTAGATCACTAATTCGTTCTTCTGCCTCACTTACCCTAGCTGTTAGATTATCTAGATTGGATCGGATCTCACTGATTGCATTTTTAAGTTCTGCCAATTCAGCTTTCATTTCTGCCCTTAGAGACTCTATGTTGCCATTAATCGATTTCTCCATTCTAGCTATTGTCTTCACAACTGCTAGCCTGAATTCCATCTCCGACATCTTGGTTATATCTAAATCCATTTGTAAATCTGTGACATAAGTCATAGTCTCTGAGTCTTTCCTATTTTGGGGGTTCCTCCTTCTAGTCATTCTGTTGAGGGGTGGTTGAGGGAATGTATAGAGTCCAAATTATTGAGCACAACCCAAGCAAGATGCACCTGTTTTCTTGGGACCTTAGGGTTGCTGGCCTCTTGTTTTCCCTGCCTGTCTTCTGGGAGAGGGGCCTGCCACACTGTTACTCAGGCAACCCTGTTTGGGCAGAGTTGCCCTGCCCCCCTGTGGTGGGGCACGTGCTCAGTGGGAACCGGTTTTGGGGCTTTTGTTCTCTGGCGCCTTTCTCTGGCGACTTTCCGCGTCTCTTCGGAGAGTCAGAGCAGAAGAGACCATTTCCAACCCTCTGCCTCAGAGCAGAGATTGCAGTCTCTTTTTTAGTGAGCTCTCCAGGCCACAGTTTCTCCGTTTCTGTCTGTGCTGCTATAAACTGCAGCATCCTAGGTTGTGTGCCTCTCCACAGCACTCCCAGTCCTGCCTCCAGGTCAGGGCATGTCTCTGCCCTTTGTGCTTCTAAAACTGACAGCCACTCCCAGTTTGCACGTGCGACCCCACCGCTTTGGTTTCCATACAGAGGGCTGACCTAAAGTCCTTTCCCCGCCCATACCGGTTTGCGAGTCTGTGCCACGTCCCCAGCGTGAGAGGTTATCGCTCACCGGTGGTGTAGGATCCCCATGGCCAGTGTCCTTCCAGCTGCTGTTTATACTCTGATATCTGTCTGTGAAATCATGGCTCCCCACTTCGAACCTCAAAACCAACCACCTGCAATCTTTTGTTTGTAGAGATCCAGATCTATCTTCTTACATCTCAGTCTGATTTCGTGGGTGCTCAGAGTGGTCTGGTAAATATCCAGCTCAATTCCGGGGACCAGTGGAATAGGGTCCCCTACTCCTCCGCCATCTTTTCCAAATCCCCTGAATACCCAACTTTTATATCAACAGGGATGAGACTGGAGAAGATTATGCTAAGTGAAATAAGTCAAGCAGATAAGGTTTCACTTATTTGTGGAACTAAGGAATAGCATGGATGACATTAGGAGAAGGAAGGGAAAAATGAAGGGGGGAGGACTGGAGGGGGAGACGAACCATGAGACTCTGGACTCTGAGAAACAAACTGAGGGTTTTAGAGGGGAAGGAGGTGGGGGGATATGTTAGCCTGGTGATGGGTATTAAGAAGGGCATATACTGCATGGATCACTGGGTGTTATATGAAAACAATGAAGTGTGGATCTCTACATTAGAAACTAATGATGTATTGTATGATGACTAATATAACATAATAAAATAAAATTTAAAAAATAAAAGTCATATACAATGCATTTAGACAGACTAATACTAAGTAAAACTTTTCCAAGGCAATAGGAACCTTGGACTGCCTTTATAAATGATGAGTTCTTTGATACTATTTAAGCATTTTACAACTGCCCTATTAAAAGATGATGTTACAAATGAGGAAACAATCCTGGAAAGTGTAGCCACAAAGCAAGAGACAAAAAGCTTTATGGAGGATGGAGGACTCAGCCGTCACTCTCCTTAAGTATGAAATTTAATTAAGTTCTCTGCCTCAGCACAACTGGAAGTCACACAGCTCCAAAGGAGCATTAACAATGCTCATTTGTCACACACTAATGCTAACACTTTGCAATCCTCTCAACACCATGCTGGGAAATTCATGTAAAAGGCCTGTGTTGTGTCATAGTAAATCCAAATTCACTGAGCACCTACAGAGTGCCATTTACTAGAAGAGGCACAGCAAAAGACACACAGGCAAAAAGAAAAAAAAAAAACACCTCACAAATGATTTATTTCTAGAGGCAATCTGTTCCTGGGCAGGAAGCCAAGACAGAGCTCAGTGACCTCTGACCTGGAAGGAAAGTGTTTTTTACCAAAGATAAAGAAGTAGAGAGGAGGGCACTTGGGTGGCTCAGTTGGTTAAGCGACTGCCTTCAGCTCAGGTCATGATCCCAGGGTCCTGGGATCGAGCCCCACATCAGGCTCCCTGCTCAGTTGAGAGCCTGCTTCTCCCTCTCCCTGCTGCTCTGCCTACTTGGGCTCTTTCTCTATCAATCTGTCAAATAAATAAATAAAAAATCTTAAAAAAAAAAAAAGAAGTAGAGACGAAACTAACATTAACTGAGGCCCACATCAGGTCAGGCAGTGAAGTAGGTACTTATAATCCATTATTTCATTTAGTCTTCACAACCCTGAGAAGTAGATATTGTAAAGGAACTTAAGGTTCAAAAAAGTGAACTATCTTGTCCAAGGTCACACAATATATAGACCTATTTGGATTTCTTCCATATAGTCAAATAGAGCCCAGATGATCATGAGAGGAATTACACTCAGGAGGCCTGTAAATAACCAGGAAAACTTGTGAATAAAACTCAAGTAGGTCTCTAGCCCTAGCCCAAACTCATACCAAATCACATGAGATAGAAATTTTCACACAAAACATAGGTAAGACACACCGTTCTTCCAGCTAGTGAATCTATTTAAAGTAGCAATTCTTTGAAGAAAGCATTAGGGCCAGAAAATGTCAGTGAATTCTCTAAGAACAGATAAAGTTCTGTTGGTCAATTCCTCCTCCAATTCAATTTTTAAAATAAAAACTATGAAATGTAATTCACATATAAAATTCATCCTTTAAAGTGAACAATTCAAGGTTTTTAGTGTATTTACAAAACTGTGCAACCATCACTGCTGTCTAATTCCAGAATATTTCCATCACCTAAGAAAAACCCTATACCTATTAGTAGTCATCCCCCCCCTTCTCCTAATACTCCCCTCAAGAAGCCAAAATTTAATTTTTGTCTCTGTGGATTTGTATACTCTAGAGGTTTCATATAATTCTAGTCATATAATATGTGACCATTTGTGCCTGTCTTGTTACACTTAACATGTTTTCAAGATTAATTCATGTTGTAGCATGTATCAGTACTTCATTCCTTTATGGCTGAATAATATCTGATATACAACATTTTCTTTATAAATTCACGTTGATGGACATTTGGGTTATTTCCATTTCCTCAGCAATTAGGAATAATGCTGCTGTGAACATTCATGTACAAGATTTTCTGTGGCCATGTTTTCAATTCATTTGGGCATATATATACAAGCAGTGGAACTGCTGAGTGATAGGACAACTCTATGTTTAACTATCTAAGGAACTGCCAAACTGTTTTCCAAAGCAGGTGTATCATTTTACATTGTCAACAGCAATGAATGAGAGTTCCAATTTCTGAACATCCTTACCAACCCTTATGTGTCTTTTTGGTTACAAATAACCTAGTGGGTGTTAACTTGCATTCACTGTAGTTTGACTTGCATTTCCTAAATGACTAAGGATGTCTTATCATGTGTTTATTGAACCTTTGTGTATACATGTATATACACACATATATATATTCTTCAATGAAATATTTATTAAATTATTTTGTCCATTTGTAAATTTTTTTTTATCTTTATATTTTCAAGTTACAAGAATTTGTTATATAACTCTGAATACTAGCTGTGGTGTATTTTCTCCCATTCTCTGGGTTGTTGTGGCACTTTATTGGTAGTGTCCTTTGAAGCATGAACATTTTTAATTTTGTGAGGTCCAATAAGCCTATTTTCTTCAATTTCTTGTGTTTGTGGTATCATATCTCAGAAAATGTTGCCTGATCAAAGGTCATGAAGATTTATAGCTATGTTTTCTTCCAATAACTTTATATTGTTTGGTTTTAATTTTTGAATGCAGTGTGATATAGGGCTCCAACTTCATTCTTTTGCATATGGATAACCAGTAATCTCAGAACCATTTGTTCTAAAGATTATTCTTTGCTTAATGAATTGTTTTGGCATTCTCAGAAAATATCAATCAGCCATAAATGTATAGGTTTATTTCCGGACTCTCAGTTCTATTCTATTAATTTATATGTCTATCTTCATGTCACAACCACACTGTCTTGATTACTATAGCTTTGTAGTAAGTTCTGAAATTAAAGACTGTGAC